TTACAAAGAGTGTTCACCACAAATGTAGCAAAATTCATTTATATTGTTTTAGCAGACTCTTCGTGAAGACCTCTTGTTTATCCGAAAACAAAACAAAAAATCAAGGTTACAATATTGTCAGTGATCGTTGTTAATACAACTCCTTTCCATAAATATTAAATAATTTAAATAATTTAATCTTTATGAAAACTGTATATACAAATTGTCACCATATATATATATATATATATATATATAATATATATATATATATATATATATATATATATATATATATATATATATATATATATACCGGCGTTATGGCTAAGCTCCTGATAATTGACGGTAGGTGTGCAGTATCTCACAAACTAGAATCAGTTTGGAAAACCTACTGACATTTTCGAATTCAGCGACGGCAAGCCACGAGATATAACAGCGACCCGTCATGTCTCTCGTGGCTTGAGAACAATGTTCTTAACGAGAGAACAGCAGGTGATTTGAAGTTCGCCGTTTGTTGCAGCCTGTCATTGTTCTGTTAATGTGTTGCAACCTATCAATGTTGTGTTGCAGCCTATCATTGTTCTGTTAATGTTGTGTTGCAACCTATCATTGATCTGTTAATGTTGTGTTGCAGCCTATCATTGTTTCGTTAATGATGTGTTGCAACCTATCATTGTTTTGTTAATGGTGTGTTGCAGCCTATCATTGTTCTGTTATTGTTGTGTTGCAGCCTCTCATTGTTCTGTTAATGTTTTGTTGCAGCCTATCATTGTTCTGTTATTGTGTTGCAACCTATCATTGTTTTGTTAATGGTGTGTTGCAGCCTATCATTGTTTTGTTAATATTGTGTTGCAGCCTATCATTGTTCTGTTACTGTTGTGTTGCAGCCTATCATTGTTCTGTTACTGTTGTGTTGCAGCCTATCATTGTTCTGTTATTGTGTTGCATCCTATCATTGTTCTGTTAATGTTGTGTTGCAGCCTATCATTGTTCTGTTAATGTTGTGTTGCAGCCTATCATTGTTCTGTTATTGTTGTGTTGCAGCTTATCATTGTTCTTTTAATGTTTTGTTGCAGCCTCTCATTGTTCTGTTAACGTTTTGTTGCAGCCTCTCATTGTTCTGTTAACGTTTTGTTGCAGCCTCTCATTGTTCTGTTAACGTTTTGTTGCAGCCTCTCATTGTTCTGTTAACGTTTTGTTGCAGCCTATCATTGTTCTGTTAACGTTTTGTTGCAGCCTCTCATTGTTCTGTTAACGTTTTGTTGCAGCCTATCATTGTTCTGTTAACGTTTTGTTGCAGCCTCTCATTGTTCTGTTAACGTTTTGTTGCAGCCTATCATTGTTCTGTTAACGTTTTGTTGCAGCCTATCATTGTTCTGTTAATGTTTTGTTGCAGCCTCTCATTGTTCTGTTAACGTTTTGTTGCAACCTATCATTGTTCTGTTAATGTTTTGTTGTAACCTATCATTGTTCTGTTAATGTTGTGTTGCAGCCTATCATTGTTCTGTCACCGTTGTGTTGCAGTCTATCATTGTCCTGACAGTGGCAGCATTTAAGTTGTGTTTTCTAAAGGTTGGGTCGACGCCTCATTAATATTCCTTGTTGCATCTACTCGTTGTCTATACTCTCCAGCGTTATCAAGGCAGGGGCTACCTTGATAACGCTAGAGAGCTCTTCATCAAGGCAGGTGCTACCTTGATATCCTGGAGAGCTCTTCATCAAGGCAGGTGCTACCTTGATAACGCTGGAGAGCTCTTCATCAAGGCAGGTGCTACCTTGATAACGTTGGAGAGCTCTTCATCAAGGCAGGTGCTACCTTGATAATGCTGGAGAACTCTTCATCAAGGCAGGTGCTACCTTGATAACGCTGGAGAGCTCTTCATCAAGGCAGTGCTACCTTGATAACGCTGGAGAGCTCTCATCAAGGCAAGTGCTACCTTGATACGTTGGAGAGCTCTTCATCAAGGCAGGTGCTACCTTGATAATGCTGGAGAACTCTTCATCAAGGCAGGTGCTACCTTGATAACGCTGGAGAGCTCTTCATCAAGGCAGGTGCTACCTTGATAACGCTGGAGAGCTCTTCATCAAGGCAAGTGCTACCTTGATAACGCTGGAGAGCTCTTCATCAAGGCAGTGCTACCTTGATAACGCTGGAGAGCTCTTCATCAAGGCAGGTGCTACCTTGATAACGCTGGAGAACTCTTCATCAAGGCAGGTGCTACCTTGATAACGCAAGAGGACTGTTACGTCATGTATTTCATCATTATATTTCATCATCTCATGCTTTGTTAACAATGACTCGAGTGTTTATAATGTTTACCAATGTCTTACGTTTTGTAATTTCTTTTAGCAATACAAAGGTGTCCTATTTTTTCGAACTTTTTTTTTTGTAATGATTTCGCGTCACTGGATGTACATTGTGTTTTGTTGTGGTCCGTTTTCTGTTGCACTCGTAGATAAATAAGTTTTTAATGTGAGGGAAGACTAGGGTAAGAGGTGATTGTTGTTAGTCTTGGTGAAGCTGTGCCTGGGTGAGAGAGGCACTGTGTTTGGGTGAGAGAGAGGCGCTGTGTTTGGGTGAGAGAGAGGCGCTGTGTTTGGGTGAGAGAGAGGCGCTGTGTTTGGGTGAGAGAGGCACAGTGCCTGGGTGTGAGAGGCACAGTGCCTGGGTGAGAGAGGCACTGTGTTTGGATGAGAGAGAGGCGCTGTGTTTGGGTGAGAGAGGCACAGTGCCTGGGTGAGAGAGGCACAGTGTCCGGGGTGTGTGAGAGAGAGGCACAATGTTGAGAGAGAGGCACATTGCCTGGGTGTGTGTGAGAGAGAGACACAGTGCCTGGGTGAGAGAGGCACAGTGCCTAGGTGAGAGAGAGGCACAGTGCCTGGGGGGGAGAGAGAGAGAGAGTCAGTGTCCGGGGTGTGTGAGAGGCACAATGTTGAGAGAGAGGCACAGTGCCTGAGTGTGTGAGAGAGGCACAGTGCCTGGGTGAGAGAGAGGTATAGTATCTGGGTGTGTGTGAGAGAGAGGCACAGTACCTGGGTGAGAGAGGTACAGTGTCTGGGTGTGTGTGAGAGAGAGGCACAGTACCTGGGTGAGAGAGAGGTACAGTGTCTGGGTGTGTGAGAGGCACAGTACCTGGGTGAGAGAGAGGTACAGTGTCTGGGTGTGTGTGAGAGAGAGGCACAGTACCTGGGTGAGAGAGAGGTACAGTGTCTGGGTGTGTGAGAGAGAGAGGCACAGTGCCTGGGTGAGAGAGGTACAGTGTCTGGGTGTGTGTGAGAGAGAGGCACAGTGCCTGGGTGAGAGAGAGGTACAGTGTCTGGGTGTGTGTGTGAGAGAGGCACAGTACCTGGGTGAGAGAGAGGTACAGTGTCTGGGTGTGTGTGAGAGAGAGGCACAGTGCCTGGGTGAGAGAGGTACAGTGTCTGGGTGTGTGTGAGAGAGAGGCACAGTACCTGGGTGAGAGAGAGGTACAGTGTCTGGGTGTGTGTGTGAGAGAGGCACAGTACCTGGGTGAGAGAGAGGTACAGTGTCTGGGTGTGTGAGAGAGGTACAGTGCCTGGGTGTGTGAGAGAGGCACAGTGCCTGGGTGAGAGAGGTACAGTGTCTGGGTGTGTGTGAGAGAGAGGCACAGTACCTGGGTGAGAGGTACAGTGTCTGGGTGTGTGTGTGAGAGAGGCACAGTACCTGGGTGAGAGAGGTACAGTGTCTGGGTGTGTGTGTGAGAGGGGCACAGTGCCTGGGTGAGAGAGGTACAGTGTCTGGGTGTGTGAGAGAGGCACAGTGCCTGGGTGAGAGAGGTACAGTGTCTGGGTGTGTGTGAGAGAGAGGCACAGTACCTGGGTGAGAGAGGTACAGTGTCTGGGTGTGTGAGAGAGAGGCACAGTGCCTGGGTGAGAGAGGTACAGTGTCTGGGTGTGTGTGAGAGAGAGACACAGTGCCTGGGTGAGAGAGGTACAGTGTCTGGGTGTGTGTGAGAGAGAGGCACAGTACCTGGGTGAGAGAGGTACAGTGTCTGGGTGTGTGAGAGAGAGGGACAGTGCCTGGGTGAGAGAGGTACAGTGTCTGGGTGTGTGTGAGAGAGAGGCACAGTGCCTGGGTGAGAGAGGTACAGTGTCTGGGTGTGTGTGTGAGAGAGGCACAGTGCCTGGGTGAGAGAGGTACAGTGTCTGTGTGTGTGTGTGAGAGAGGCACAGTGCCTGGGTGAGAGAGGTACAGTGTCTGGGTGTGTGTGAGAGAGAGGCACAGTGCCTGGGTGAGAGAGGTACAGTGTCTGGGTGTGTGTGAGAGAGAGGCACAGTGCCTGGGTGAGAGAGGTACAGTGTCTGGGTGTGTGTGAGAGAGAGAGGCACAGTACCTGGGTGAGAGAGGCACAGTGCCTGGGTGTGAGAGAGGCACAGTGTCTGGGTGAGAGAGAGGCACAGTGCCTGGGTGTGAGAGAGGCACAGTGTCTGGGTGAAAGAGAGGTACAGTGCCTGGGTGTGTGAGAGAGGTACAGTGCCTGGGTGTGTGAGAGAGGCACAGTGCCTGGGTGAGAGAGAGGTATAGTGTCTGGGTGTGTGTGTGAGAGAGAGAGGCACAGTGCCTGGGTGAGAGAGAGGTATAGTGTCTGGGTGTGTGTGTGAGAGAGAGAGGCACAGTACCTGGGTGAGAGAGAGAGTCTGAGTGTGAGAGAGTCGTGCACTAGTGCTGGTTGTTCTCTCAGTCACCGTACTCTCACTTTCCTGTAAAAATGATTGAGTTTGCATTATATATAATTTCCCAGCAGGTTTTCATTATTTATTAATGATAATTGAAATATTTAACTTAGCAGTTTTTAAGAGAGTATCTTGTATACAAGCACTGCCATTAAGATACTCTTAGTACTCTTAGCTTCCTTAGTACACTAACCATTTACTCAGGCTGCATCTGTTGTGTGTGAAAAATTTATTATTTATAATTTCTGGCGTGGAGGTGTGAAACTCCCAGTTAACTTTATGATTTGTTGAGTTGTTATGAGTTTGGTTTTATGTTGTTGCAGGGAGGGGAGAACTTCGACCTCCTGCTGAGTGTACCTGACTCTACACACCCGGGATATATGGCTGACCAGGTGATACTTAAATAATAGTTACCTTTATAATGCTTACCTACCTTCCTACCTACCTGCACTCTCTCTCTCTCTCCTTCACTCCTTTCCTTTCTTCACTCCCTTCTTCTTTAACTTCTATCTTACCTCCCTTCCCTCCATCTCCTTTCTCCCTTTCGCCCCCTCCTTCTTCCCTCCTCCATGCCCTCTTTTTCTTACATCCTGTCATAAACAGTAGTCATTACCGTCAACTTAAGCAATAACAATGTTGCAACACTTACATTTCTCCACCGAAACGTTTCGTCAGATGAGGACACCCAAGTGTTGCATACGTATCCTGTCTTCCCCCAAATGTTGCACACGTGAGTTCCCCCCCCCGTGTTGCATACGTGTCTTCCCCCCCTGTGTTGCACGTATCTTGCCCCAAGTGTTGCACACGTGTCTTGACCCCCAGTTTTGCACACGTATCTTTCCCCCAGTGTTGCACACGTGTCTTCCATCCCCCCAGTGTTGCACACGTATCTTGCACCCCAGTGTTGCACGTATCTTGTCCCCCAGTGTTGCACACGTGTCTCCATTCCCCCATTGTTGCACGTATCTTGTCCCCCAGTGTTGCACACGTGTCTTGCCCCCAAGTGTTGCACACGTGTCTTGCCCCCAAGTGTTGCGTTGCACACGTGTCTTCCACCCTCCCCCAGTGTTGCACGTATCTTGCCCCCAGTGTTGCACGTATCTTGTCCCCCAGTGTTGCACACGTGTCTTGCATTCCCCCATTGTTGCACGTATCTTGTCCCCCAGTGTTGCACACGTGTCTTGCCCCCCAGTGTTGCACACGTGTCTTGCCCCCCAGGGCAAGAATGCTGAGTTTGGACACCCTGTTATCTTGGCCAGTACTATCACTGATATACCTTCGATGAGTTTAGAGTCTTACTACTCTACAGTGTTGTGACAACACTTGTTGGTGACAACACTGTTCTTGGTGACAACACTGTTCTTGGTGACAACACTGTTCTTGGTGACAACACTGTTCTTGGTGACAACACTGTTGTTGGTGACAACACTGTTGTTGGTGACAATGTTGTTGGTGACAACAGTGTTGTTGGTGACAATGTTGTTGGTGACAACACTGTTGTTGGTGACAATGTTGGTGACAACACTGTTGTTGGTGACAACACTGTTGTTGGTGACAATACTGTTGTTGGTGACAACACTGTTGTTGGTGACAACACTGTTGTTGGTGACACTTGTTGGTGACAACACTGTTGTTGGTGACAACACTGTTGTTGGTGACAACACTTGTTGGTGACAACTCTGTTGTTGGTGACAACACTTGTTGGTGACAACACTGTTGTTGGTGACAACAGTGTTGTCTATGGGAACAATTTATGTACATTTTACAACATTTATTATAGAAAACGTTTTGCCACGAGTGGCGGCGCGTTTTCTATAATGTTTTTAAACTCGACAAACCTGTCTTGTGTTGCTGCCTGCACCAGTGTTGCTGCCTGCACCAGTGTGTTGCTGCCTGCACCAGTGTGTTGCTGCCTGCACCAGTGTGATGCTGCCTGCACCAGTGTGTTGCTGCCTGCACCAGTGTGTTGCTGCCTGCACCAGTGTGTTGCTGCCTGCACCAGTGTGTTGCTGCCTGCACCAGTGTGTTGCTGCCTGCACCAGTGTGTTGCTGCCTGCACCACTGTGATGCTGCCTGCACCACTGTGATGCTGCCTGCACCAGTGTGTTGCTGCCTGCACCAGTGTGTTGCTGCCTGCACCAGTGTGTTGCTGCCTGCACCAGTGTGTTGCTGCCTGCACCAGTGTGTTGCTGCCTGCACCAGTGTGTTGCTGCCTGCACCAGTGTGATGCTGCCTGCACCAGTGTGTTGCTGCCTGCACCAGTGTGTTGCTGCCTGCACCAGTGTGTTGCTGCCTGCACCAGTGTGATGCTGCCTGCACCAGTGTGTTGCTGCCTGCACCAGTGTGATGCTGCCTGCACCAGTGTGTTGCTGCCTGCACCAGTGTGTTGCTGCCTGCACCAGTGTGATGCTGCCTGCACCAGTGTGATGCTGCCTGCACCAGTGTGTTGCTGCCTGCACCAGTGTGTTGCTGCCTGCACCACTGTGATGCTGCCTGCACCAGTGTGTTGCTGCCTGCACCAGTGTGATGCTGCCTGCACCACGTGTGATGCTGCCTGCACCAGTGTGTTGCTGCCTGCACCAGTGTGTTGCTGCCTGCACCAGTGTGATGCTGCCTGCACCAGTGTGTTGCTACCTGCACCAGTGTGTTGCTGCCTGCACCACTGTGATGCTGCCTGCACCAGTGTGTTGCTGCCTGCACCAGTGTGATGCTGCCTGCACCAGTGTGTTGCTGCCTGCACCAGTGTGATGCTGCCTGCACCAGTGTGTTGCTGCCTGCACCAGTGTGTTGCTGCCTGCACCAGTGTGTTGCTGCCTGCACCAGTGTGATGCTGCCTGCACCAGTGTGATGCTGCCTGCACCAGTGTGATGCTGCCTGCACCAGTGTGTTGCTGCCTGCACCAGTGTAATGCTGCCTGCACCAGTGTGTTGCTGCCTGCACCAGAGTGTTGCTGCCTGCACCAGTGTGATGCTGCCTGCACCAGTGTGATGCTGCCTGCACCAGTGTGATGCTGCCTGCACCACTGTGATGCTGCCTGCACCAGTGTGATGCTGCCTGCACCAGTGTGATGCTGCCTGCACCACTGTGTTGCTGCCTGCACCAGTGTGTTGCTGCCTGCACCAGTGTGATGCTGCCTGCACCACTGTGATGCTGCCTGCACCACTGTGATGCTGCCTGCATCAGTGTGATGCTGCCTGCACCACTGTGATGCTGCCTGCACCACTGTGATGCTGCCTGCACCACTGTGATGCTGCCTGCACCACTGTGATGCTGCCTGCACCACTGTGATGCTGCCTGCACCAGTGTGATGCTGCCTGCACCAGTGTGATGCTGCCTGCACCAGTGTGATGCTGCCTGCACCAGTGTGATGCTGCCTGCACCAGTGTGATGCTGCCTGCACCAGTGTGATGCTGCCTGCACCAGTGTGATGCTGCCTGCACCAGTGTGATGCTGCCTGCACCAGTGTGATGCTGCCCGCACCAGTGTGATGCTGCCTGCACCAGTGTGATGCTGCCTGTACCACTGTGATGCTGCCTGTACCACTGTGATGCTGCCTGCACCAGTGTGATGGTGCCTGCACCAGTGTGATGGTGCCTGCACCAGTGTGATGCTGCCTGCACCAGTGTGATGCTGCCTGCACCAGTGTGATGCTGCCTGCACCACTGTGATGGTGCCTGCACCACTGTGATGGTGCCTGCACCACTGTGATGGTGCCTGCACCACTGTGATGCTGCCTGCACCACTGTGATGCTGCCTGCACCACTTTGATGCTGCCTGCACCACTGTGATGCTGCCTGCACCACTGTGATGCTGCCTGCACCATGTGATGCTGCCTGCACCATGTGATGCTGCCTGCACCAGTGTGATGCTGCCTGACCACTGTGATGCTGCCTGTACCACTGTGATGCTGCCTGCACCATGTGATGTGCCTGCACCAGTGTGATGGTGCCTGCACCAGTGTGATGCTGCCTGCACCAGTGTGATGCTGCCTGCACCAGTGTGATGCTGCCTGCACCACTGTGATGGTGCCTGCACCACTGTGATGCTGCCTGCACCACTGTGATGCTGCCTGCACCACTGTGATGCTGCCTGCACCACTTTGATGCTGCCTGCACCACTGTGATGCTGCCTGCACCACTGTGATGCTGCCTGCACCAGTGTGATGCTGCCTGCACCAGTGTGATGCTGCCTGCACCAGTGTGATGCTGCCTGCACTAGTGTGATGCTGCCTGCACTAGTGTGATGCTGCCTGCACCAGTGTGATGCTGCCTACACCAGTGTGATGCTGCCTGCACCAGTGTGATGCTGCCTACACCAGTGTGATGCTGCCTGCACCAGTGTGATGCTGCCTACACCAGTGTGATACTGCCTGCACCAGTGTGATGCTGCCTGCAATAGTGTGATGCTGCCTGCACCAGTGTGATGCTGCCTACACGTGTGATGCTGCCTGCACCAGTGTGATGCTGCCTGCACCACTGTGATGCTGTCTGCACCAGTGTGATGCTGCCTGCACCAGTGTGATGCTGCCTGCACTAGTGTGATGCTGCCTACACCAGTGTGATGCTGCCTGCACCATTTGATGCTGCCTGCACCACTGTGATGCTGCGTGCACTGTGACGGTGCCTGCACCACTGTGACGCTGCTTGTGCCACTGTGACGCTGCCTGCACCACTGTGATGCCTGCACCACTGTGATGCTGTCTGCACCAGTGTGATGCTGCGTACACCACTGTGATGCTGTCTGCACCAGTGTGATGCTGCGTACACCACTGTGATGCTGCGTACACCACTGTGATGCCTGCACCAGTGTGACGCTGCCTGCACCACTGTGATGCTGCCTGCACCACTGTGATGCTGCCTGCACCAATGTGATGCTGCCTCCACCAGTGTGATGCTGCCTGCACCACTGTCATGCTGCCTGCACCACTGTCATGCTGCCTGCACCAGTGTGATGCTGAAAATTTTGTCTTCTGGACCACTCTCTCCTTTTATTGTACCTGTCCCCTCCATTGTACCTTCCTTCTTCATTGTACCTCTTTCCTTCACTGTACCTTCCTTCCTCCTTCATTGTACCTCCCTCCTCCCTTCATTGTACTTTTCCGTTCATTGTACCTCTCTCTTCACTTCACTGTACCTCTCTCCATTGTACCTTCCTCCTCCCTTCATTGTGCCTCCCTCCCTTCATTGTACCTCTCCTATCATTATTGTACCTCTCTCCTCCCTTCATTGCACCTCTCCATTGTATCTTCCTCTCTTCATTGTACCTCTCTTATCCGTTCATTGAACTTCCCTTCTCCCTTGATTGCACCTTCCTCTTCCCTTCATTGTGCGTCCATTGTACCTCTGCGTCATTGTACCTTCCTTCATTATACCCCCTCCAGTGTACCTGGTCC